TCCTTCCTTCCTTCCTTCCTTCCTTCCTTCCTTCCTTCCTTCCTTCCCTCCCTCCCTCCCTCCCTCCCTCCCTCCCTCCCTCCCTTCCTTTCTTCTTTCCTTTTGTGATTTATAGGCTCTCAGCGACCAACCATCCTCTGACTCCTCAATGTGATATGGACCTCAGTACTTCTGAAGAATTCTACCAAGCTGTTCACCATGCTGAACAGACCTTCAGAAAGATGGAAAGCTACCTGAAGCAGCAGCAACTCTGTGATGTTATTTTGATCGCTGGGAACCGTAAGATACCAGCACACAGGTATGTGTTAAAGTAAAAGAATAAGAATCATTTGTTAGACAGGAATGGGGAAAAACATCAAAATACTGGCTGCAATTGCACCTCATTCTTGAAAGCATGTCATTATTATTATTATTATTATCATTATTTTAAAAATATTCAATTCTTTTAAGAACAGCTTCCTCTTAACAAGAGAAGCATACCATGGTGTAAGCTGACGATTATGAAGAGTGAGGGTCAGATTGTTGACATGATGGTTTTAGTTCCTACCTTGAAATTTTATTTTACAATTTGTGTTTTTGTAACTAAGGTTAAATGTTTATTAATGGTCCACTATAACCACAACAAGAAGTTTGCTTGATTAGTAGAGGACAAAACTCTAGCCAAGATAAAAATGGGAGAGAGAAAGATTTAAACTATGTAGCACTTTTTACTTTTTGTTGGTTTGTTTTTTTGAAGACTGAGCAAATTTGAGGCCACACTGATTGTAACCTTTGCACACAAGCAAAGGAGGTTTAAATATATATTTTTCTGGAGCTCTTTCATACCATCTCTATGTATCATGTTTTTTTTAAAAAAAAAACATAGCATTTAAGCTGTATCATATACATTTTGTAATAAAGTACTTATTTGGCCAAATAAGTTCAATATAAAAATGCAAATTTTGTTCTTTTAGCACAAAGTTGGTATTTAATGGGTAGGTGGATTTTCATCTGTATCTTAATTTGATTTAACAGCTAATGCAGTTCAGTAGCAATCAGAACTTTTGGGACCAATAAATGATAAGGGTCGTAACCTTGCCTCTGAAATAAAGATGTATTACAGTTCATCATCACAGTTAAAAGTGCAAATGTATGGACTGTCTGTTTCAGATTTCCAGGCTATTTGAAAGGATTTTTTTCCTTTTGGAATAGCTGATATATATATATATAGTATATTAGCGGTCTTTGGGCTTAGTGGCCTGGATGGGGTCTGTGTATAGAGGGAACTGGGCCATGTTAGTAGAATAGAATAGAATAACAGAGTTGGAAGGGATCTTGGAGGTCTTCTAGTCCAACCCCCTGCCTAGGCAGGAAATCCTACACCACTTCAGACAAATTATTATCCAATCTCTTCTTAAAAACTTCCAGCGTTCAAGAATTCACAACCTCTGGAGGCAAGTTGTTCCACTGGTTAATTGTTCTCACCAACAGGAAATTTCTCCTTAGTTCTAGGTTGCTCCTCTCCTTGATTAGTTTCCACCCTTTGCTTCTTTTTCTGCCCTCAGGTGCTTTGGAGAATAGCTTGACTCACACTCTTCTTTGTGGCAGCCCCTGAGATATTGGAACACTGCTATCATGCCACCCCTAGTCCTTCTTTTCATCAGACATACCCAGTTCCAGCAACCATTCTTTATATGTTTTAGTTTCCAGTCCCCTAATCATCTTTGTTACTCTTCTCTGCACTCTTCCTAGAGTCTCAATGTCTTTTTTACATTGTGGTTACAAAAACTGGATGCAGTTACCAAGGCATTATAAAGTGCAAGAGTGCATGAAACTCCACTCACACAAGAGAGAAGACTTGGGGGTGCAGTTTTGTGCTTCTTCAGGTTTCTCTGTGCCAAAACCTTTTGCAAAATGACTGGAGGCCTGAAACAGCATGAGATCTCTCCCCCAAAGCCTTCTGTCCATTTGCAAAAGCTTTTAGCATGGAGAAGAGAAGCCTTTGGGGACACGGTCTCATGCTCCTTCAGCCTCACAGAAACTTCCCAATGTTCCAAAAGCAGATATGGTATTCTGGGCAGGCAGCCTTGGTGAATCAGCGAAGCCGAACATGGTACACTTGTCAAACTCAGTGTCAGCATTCCAAGTAACGCACAGCTAGTGAAAACCAACTCTAAAAGTTCCCTCATTTTTTCCTCTAATTAAAAGAGCAAATAATTCCCTCCCCAGATGTCACCAGTCACAATGAAAATAGCTGGCAGGCTGCTTGGTCACTCCTCTCCTCCTTCAACTGCCACCTGTTCGGATGACCTTGGTTCCCACAAGAAAACTTTTTGTTTTGACTGGTAGTCAGTCTATCTACTCCCCCTCCCTCCAGAGTTCATGGCAACTATGAAGCAGCTTGGTGGCCCAGCTGGAAGAAGCAGAGAGACAGATGTGCACGCAGCTCATCCTTTGGGATGCTGTTCATGTGAGTGGATCTGCATATGCTCACCAGCCCACCTCTTACATGCCCTGGTTTCGAATAGTCTGTGGCCTGATAGTTGGCTGTGACCTGGGGTTTACGGGCCCCCATAGTATATAATACATTCACATTTCCATATCATGCATAAGAGAAATGCTTAGGTAGTGCAAAGTAAAACGATATTTAATGATACATGGTCTCAGCAGGGGCTCCCCAAGGGCCTGTGGATTTTACCTTTTCTCTGCCCTCCTCTATAATAACCAGGTTTTCTAATGGAGGGGGAGAGATATCCCTTCTTGCCACCTGTTCTCTATTCCTGATCTACTAGAGCAAGTTTAGAAGGTGAAAACCATTTATAGCAGGGGTGTCAAACTCGATTTCATTAAGGGCCACATCAGGGTCGTGTTTGACCTTGGAGGACCAGGGATGGGTGGGGAGGGGCGTGGCCATAATGGGTATCGCCGGGGTGGGCATGGCCATGATGGGTGTGAAACGGGACTCATGTCGGAGTTGCCTATGTTGGCCAAGTGCTTAGGAAGGACTTCCCTGAGAATCCCTGAGAAACTTCCTTCCTTCCTTCCTTCCTTCCTTCCTTCTTCTTCTTTTTCATTCCCTCTTCATTCTCCTTTCTACTTCCTTCCCCTCTTTCTTTATTTTTCCTTCCTTGCTCTCTTCCCATCTTCCCATCTTCCCTTCTTTTTCTTTGTCTTTCCTCTTCCACATGTGCAGCCTTCCCCCCAACTCCATTTTCAGTAGCAGAGGCACCATGGGCTGGTCCTTTGTGGTTTCCCAAAATTTATGTTGCTAAGTGAAACATTTGTTAAGTGAGTTTTGTGCCATTTTTGTCCCACTTTCTTTCCATAGTTGTTGAATGAATTGTTGCACTTCTTAAGTTAATACCATTGTTGTTAGGTGAATCTGGCTTCCCATTTGACTTTGCTGGTCAGAAGGTCACAAAAGCTGATCACATGACCCCCCCGGGACACGGCAACCATCATAAATATGAACCAATTAGCAAGCACCCAAATTTTGATCACGACTGCAACAAGATGCTGCATCGGTCATAAGTGTGAAAAAGGTCATGGGCCACTTTTTTCAGTGCTATTGTAACTTTGAACAGTCACTAACTGAACTGTTGTAAGTCGAGAACTCCCTTTATCCGCCCCTGTTATCCCCTGATCCAGCCAATTGATATATTAAATACTCTTTTGAGCGTTGGAAGAAATTGTGATTTTCATATTGTTCCAATTTGGGCACATATCATTTCATTTTGGGGAACTAATCAAGGAGCATATGTGGAAGCAGAAGGTTTGATTAAACATGTTATGGAAAAGTTAAAGCCTATTATATTTATATCCAATTAAATTTTGGAGTCAAAAGCTTTGGACTCCATGTATTATGCAGCAACCCACGAGAGAAGCAGGGTCCATGAGTTTATTTCTTGTAGAATTTATTCTTGTGAAGTAGTAGTAATTAGAGAGGGGGAAAATTATATTTAAAATACAATTGACATAGTCTGTAGAGAGTCTCAGTCATCCAGGTCATGGCTGTCCCAAAGGTGCTTTTTCAGGAGACAACTGGACTTTCTTGTTGTTGTTTTTTCTTTTGAAGTCATTTTGCTTCTCTTCCAAGAAGCTTCTTCAGCTCTGACAGGATAGTGAGGAATGGAAGGATATATATTCCTTGCAGGCAGACTCCCAAGTACTTCAATGACCCTTTAGAGCAGGGGTGTCAAACTCAAGGCCCACGGGCCAGATCCACCCTGTGGGGTGCTTTGATCTGGCCCATGGGGCCGACATGGAAACAGTGAAGGATCAGCCTGTGGTAACTCTACCTGTGGAAATGGAGCTCAGGAGGGCCTCATGCGGCCCTCACGAGCTCCATTTTTGCTGGCAGAGTTGCAAGAGACCATTGTGGCCAAAAATGTACCTTTCCAAGCCCTCCCGAGCTTAGTTTTCACTGGCAGAAGGTTGCAGGAAGCCGTCACACCCAAAAATGGAACATGGGAGCCCATTTTCGCTGGCAGAGCAGTTGGGCTGACACAAGCACCCCCAACATGAGTGACGTCAAGCTTCCCTCCCCGAGGTCAAATACAACCTTGATGCAGCCGTCAATCAAATTGAGTTTGACGCCCCTGCTCTAAAAGGATGCAAATGACCAGCTGTCTGCAAGATATATAAATCCTCCCATTCGCCACTATCCTGTCAGAGCTGAAGAAGCTTCTTGGATAAGAAGCCAAATGTCTTCAAAAGTTAAAAAAGAAAAAGTCCATTTGCCTCATGAAATAGCACCTTTGGGACAATTGATGTAGGTTCCTCAACCAAAATTGACCATTCCCTCCGACCCTTGGGAGTTCTGAGATCAATAGCACATGATGAATTCAGGAAGTTTTCCTGAACAAGATTAATTACGAGGCACTATTTCATTAAATAATAAGAAAAAAGAGAGAGAACTATGCACACGGGAAGAAGTAATGCTGCCTGACAATTGCAGTTTCACTTGTCAAAAAAGAGATAAAGTTATAAAATACGTATTTTGAAAAGTTCAGGCATTTAACTGTATTCAAGTCTATCATATATGAGGCGTGATCTGAATGCAAAAGTGAAAACTGGAGACTTTTTCCACTGGGACTGCTTCCATTATTGATCGTAATGAAAGGGGACTTTAGATTTTTCTTTTTCACTAGCCAGGAACATCCTTAATGGCTGAGTATATTTTGTAGAGAAAAGCACTTAGGCTACCTTTCATTTTTGCCAATGACAGCCGTGTCTTTATTTTTTATTTTTTTCCAAGGCAGAACTGAGGAAAAAAGGAGTAGTCGTATAGTAGAAATTGACTTCAAGGAACTTTCTTGATTTCTGGACTTTTAGTTTTGTGCATATAGACAATTTTTTCCTCTTCACCAGACATTTCTATCATTATGATCTACAGTATTCCTTTAAAGAGTTTCATTTTGCTCTGTTTGGATTATATTTCTCACTCATAGCTCTTCTGTTTTATTCATCTGCTGTTAGTGTGGCTTCATTAATGAAGATAGTGTGATTTTATGATGTTATTTTATTATATGGCTGGTTTTGTAAGTTACCTTGGGTGCTGGTGTGGAAGAAAAGCAGGATATACAACTCTTATAAACCATCTGATATCCTGCCTATATCCAGGAAACAGTTTCTACACTGTGTAAACAGATGTTCATCAAAATTACTCAATGGACATATATAAGACTCACTCTTACATACAAAACCATATAGTTCTACTTGGTATCTGTGAGGAAAATGTCAACAGTCCATCTTCTATATAATCAAATCCTTGAAGGCCCCCATATCTGGCCAGATCTATCGAATAGAGACATACCACCAAGGAATTTAATTTAGGCACTTAGACATGGATAAGAAAGGCTTGTATATGGATTTAAGAATAGGGAGGAGTAAACCAAATGATACCACAGTACCAAAGGGCGGAAGAAGCAGAAGAGAAGGAAATTCTTTTCCTACAGGGTATATAAATATGTGACCTCATCTGTTTATTTATTTTCCCAAAAACAACTTTCATCAAAATAAATATTTGGTTGCTTACTTGTTGCTTCAATGCACATTTTTTGTGTGGGTGAGTTCGTTTCCTGAATTTTATTAAATGCCAGCAGAGTAAGACTGCTCTGTACTTTTACTTGAAAAAGAATGTGATTCAGGAGAACCTGTTTCCAAACAAATGTTTATAAGGTTGCTGTTTTCCCAGGCTAGAGTGTGCTAGGCTTTCATGACTTTTGAAAGTTTACAACACTTGTTGTGGGTTGAGTATTCTCAGAAGTGGAATGCACTGAAATACAGTACATTAACAGATAGATATGTTCCTTCTTTTTCTCTGTCTCTGCCCTTCTCTCTCTCCTTATGCTGCCCCAGGCTTGTACTCAGCTCAGTTTCAGATTACTTTGCTGCCATGTTTACGAATGATGTTTGTGAAGCCAAGCAAGAAGAAATCAAAATGGAAGGCATTGATCCTGGCGCCCTTTGGGATCTCGTTCAGTTCGCATACACAGGTAATCCTCGTGCATTGAATTCTGCTTTCAGGAATAAACCCTGATTCTTGTGTTCATCTTTCTTTAACAACAATAGAATATTAATACATCAGCAGTTTATATAATCTGGATTAACAGATGGTAGGAACTTGCAAAGATAACATCCTAAACTCGCAAAATGTAGACAAAATTTCACCACTGTTCTTCAAATTCATGAATTATTTGTATAGATTATCCCAAAGTTGTTTATCTGGTATTCATAGTTTTTCATACTGTTGCCTCCAAACTGGAGCTACCTTTATCAATAGTAATTGGGAAAAAGTAGCATTACATTCCTTTGCTATTAGGAAAACAAGAGAATACATACCAGTTTGTAACTTATGATTAATGATTGTAACTATGATTTATGATCTATGACCTATTACTCGCTGTTTGTATGTACTCTGTAAGTTTATTCACCGGAGACAAATTCCTTGTGTGTCCAATCACACTTGGCCAATAAAGAATATCTATTCTATTCTATTCTATTCTATTCTATTCTATTCTATTCTATTCTATTCTATTCTATTCTATTCTATTCTATTCTATTGTTTCCTCCACCTATAAAATATACAATTCTGTAATTAGTTTATCTTAAATCTGTGCTTTTAGGAAGAACAATCATTTAAAATGAAAAACAATTGAAGTTCATATTTATGACTAATATAGCTTAGTGGTTAAGGAACAGATTGTAAATGGGAATGCATTAACGCAGATTGTCCTCAGGGTGCAATCAAAAAGACAAGATGATGACACATAAAAATATAGGCAGATCTTTAACTGCAATATTGTAGTCATCATCTTGACTTTTTTTTTACCCTATTCTATATTATTTCATCCTGTTGATCAATAAAAGACAATTTCCTGCCTCTTCCGTGGTTTTTAAAATGCTGTTGGGCTTAAAAGTACTAAAATTTGTTTCTTGTGTTTGTGATGTTGAAGCCAGAAGAATGTATATTCTTTCCTAGGACCCAATTCTCGACTGTGATCATAAATTTCAAATACTATTCCTCATTCCTGGGACATTGGATAACTTACGAAAACATTGCACACAATAACTTTGAAACTCCGTACACAGTGATATTGATCCTTGGGGGAAAAAATAGGTTAATCAGTGTCCTACTGATAAAATTTTTAAGGCTAAAGGTTTATACTAATCATTCATACAACCATCTCTCCAAGACAAATACAAAACAAATATTTTATATTTGTCCTTCAGCTTTTCTTTTCTTTTTTCCTACAAGGAACTAACACATTGATTAAAATACTACGGATGCTTCAAAACTAAAGGAACATTAAATAAAACATCAAAATTAATATTTCAGCTTGCGACCACAATTCAATGCATAAATTACTTGGGCATGTAAGCTCCATTTAACTTAGTGTTTGCTTCCAATTGTTTTGTTTTAGCTTTACCAAAAGCTATTCAGCCAGGTGAACATGCAATATTTATGTTTTAATTTGAACTTTGGGAAATGTGGCAAGCAGTTGTTAATATTCAAATTGCCCGTGGAAAGACAAAACTCCATTAAAAGAAATGAAAAAAAGACTTGCTGAATGTTTGGAGGTCTTTTTTTCCCCCTCCTCATTTTCTGACTTCTCTATCATGTCTAGAGAACGGATGGCTTTTTCAAGGAGGCACCTCATTAATCATCTGTTTTCTGGTCCAAAATTAGCAGTATGGTGTCCTTGAACCACTGCTGATGTACAGAGATATGATGATGTTATCCATTTGGTCGTGTCTGATCTCTTGGTGATTCTATGGGCCAGATCTCTTTGCATCTTCTGAACTTGTACTGCTTCTTTGAGTTGTTCTGTTCTCTGACTGATGTAAGCTTTGATGATGTCTATCCACCATGTTCTGTCATGGCCTGGTTTCCTGTTGTGGCCCGCCAGCTGCCAGAGGAACTGGCAGCAGACTCAGATGATGAGGAGGTTAGGGAAGAACTTGGGCCAGTTCTGGAGCCTGGGGAAGGCTCTGGTGGATGCTCAGCATCAGACACAGAGATAGAGGGCCATCCAGCATTTCCCAGCCAGAGAAGCAGCTGCCTTTGGAGTCAGAGATGACTGAGGAGGAGGAACAGCTGGAGCCTGTTCCAGATATGTGTATGCTCAGAGCAGATAGGAGAGGTGAACAACGGAGGACAATGAGCTGCTTGGAAAGCAAAACAAATGTGGATGCTGAATGGTCTCTCCCTGGCTGGGGAATAAATAGGAGGAAGGGGAGTGGTTTGGTTGTTGCAGACAACCTTTCAAATTTTTGGGAAGTTTGCTCCTTGTATGTTTCATACGACAAAGACTGCCATGCCAGAACTGAGGTTTGTTTATTTCTCTGTTTGAACTGACTTAATATGCAGGGAGCTCCCGGCCTTGCATTTATCATAATGAGTTGATAAGGACTATTGTTTCAGTTAACTTCTTTCAGGAGTCTTGCATGGACTTTCTGTTGATGAATGAAGTTAATTCCCAATGTGTAAATAAAGAGGGATTTTCCTTTGCACAGTTTGTTTCTTGCTTCTACAAAGGAAGGGTCAGAGCAGTTTCCTTTTACCCCTAACTCTTCCAAACATAATTGCATTCTCCAGTGAATTTCCCTGCATGACCTGGCCAAAATAAGTGAAATACGGTGTTACGATTTTCAACAAAGGTATATGCTGAGTATATTTGATCTCTCCAAAGGAAGCCACGGGTGAATTTCAAAATGTTGCATCTTCTCTCCAGTAACTAATCTTCACCACACCCATCATATCCCTAACAGCTACAGGCAGTCCTTAACTTACAATAGTTCATTTAATGACCAAAGTTACAGCACTGAAAAAGGGGGCTTATGATGGTTTTTCACAGTTAGACCATTTTCCTTTGAAATATCTCTTCTAAAAGATCTTTCTTGACTTACAACAGTTCATTTAGGGACCATTCAAAGTTACAATGGCACTGAAAAAAAGTGACTTACGACTATTTTTCACACTTACAACCTTTTGTAGCAATCCCATGATCATCTGATCCAAATTCAGATGCTTGGCCACTGGTTCATACTTATGACCGTTGCTGTGCCCCAAGGTGATGGGATCCCCTTTATGTGACTTTCCGACAAGCAAAGTCAATGGGGAAACCAGATTCACTTAACAATTGGGTTACTTACTTATCAACTGCACTGATTCACTTAGCAACTGCAGCGAGACAGGTCGTAAAATGGGGCAAAACTCACTTAACAAGTGTCTCATTTAACAGACGTTTTGGGCTCAATTTTGATCGTAAGTTGAAGACTATCTGGACTTTCTCCAGGGGTGGGATGCTACTGGTTCTGCCCGGTTCTAAAGAACCAGTAGCTCTGAAGATCAGCAGACACCAAAGCGGTTCTGTGTTTGCTGTTGTTTGGCCCACCTGCCCGCCCGGGCTCTTACCTATCCTTTATTTCCTGCTTTTTCAACCTCAGCTGCTTTGTGCAGCGTAGCTGAGGTTGAAAAAGCAGGAAAAAAGAGGCTTTTCAAATGCTGTGCACCTGTGCGCAGTGCTTTTCAGCCTGTCCGGGTGGCACAGCTGATGTTTTTTTACACACACGCACAGCGTAAAACATAGTCACGGAACTGGTAGTAACACGGGTTGAATCCCACCCCTGACTTTCTCCCCATGTGGGAGATTTCCCTTGCAAATATCAAAGCAAATATGTGATGACTTGGAAATTGACCAGAAATGTAGTCCAGAAAGATTTAGTCAGTTTCTTTCTTATCTGTGTTGAACTAAACATTCCTGGAGTTACAAAGTGGATTGCCCATGTCAATTACTTTTCCTTATCCTAAGGATACAGAAGTAAATGGATGTTCATCTACTCCAGGGGTGTCAAACTCAATTTCATTGAAAGCTGCATCAGGGCTCTGATTGACTTCAGGGTGTGTGGGCATGGCTGACTGGGTGGGTGTGGCCGACTAGATGGGCGTGGCCAGCTTGACACCATGCCCCAAACTGCTGCATTGGGTAGACAGGGCTGAGGTGATGCAGGTAGACTGGGCTGAAGTGACGCAAGTAGAATGGAACAGCCCCGTGGGCCGGATCCAACAACATCGCAGTCCGGATCCTACCCCCAGGCCTTGAGTTTGATACCCCTGATCTATCCTGTAATCATAGATCATATTTATTCTATGGATAAATATTTGCCTTGCATACAAAGTATAGGTTTCTGTTAGGGTTTGAGGATTAACCCCTAGCAGAGTATTGCAGCAGTAGT